TTTTTTTTTTTTTTTGGTGGGGTGGGGAGCTTGCCAGGCAGAAGACAAGGCACCACTGAGATAAATCCCCAGCCCTGCCCATCTTTTCTTATGGAGAACAGATTCTTCACCTTCTATTGCAACTTGCTGAGCCACTAGCAGAATCAAGCTGAGAACTCACAGGAGCCTGTAGGTGATGCGATGAAGCTTTGAATCTCTCTTCTGTAGCAAGAACTAGTTCTGTGCTCTTTTTTTTTTTTTTTTTTTTGGTCCTGGGGATTGAACTCAGGTCCTTGCACTTGCAAGGCAGGCCACCAAACCACTGAGCTAAATCCCTAGCCCAAGCTTTCATGTTTTATTGGGATATTTCACTGTTAGAATTAAGTGGCTTTCAAAGATCTCATGGGATCAAGAGTTTATTGTAGAATGTCATGGATTACTACAGTGATAACGAGACAGTGTGAAGAAGACTAGAAGGGAGCACAGCAAACCTCATTCATGTGTTGCAGGTGCAGCCTGTAGTATTCCCTTCTAAGAGGAGTCTCTTACTTGCAGCAGATCAGAAATCTGATTTCTGCTAAATGGTGCATATGTTCATATCTCCTGGCACTCAGAGGACCACATGGGATGTGTCATGATTAGGCTTGAATTTTCCTGCCTTTCTGTGTACCAGTACACTTTGACAGAGTTCTGGAAATTCACAGAAACATCTCCTGGTGTCTCTTTGTTGGAAACAGATGGTTATGATTTATATTTTACTCAGCTGCTTAGCATTTTGTAATTGTATCAGCTTTCAGTTGAAACTTCCAGTCTTCTCACACCAAATTTCTAAAGCAAATCAATCATGAGTTATATTTTGGTTTAGTCTACCGACTTGAATAAATTAAGGCATGAGTAGTTCACCAAGGTAGTGCTTGTCTTGTTTGTAGAGCATGTGATTCCTGGCTCCGTGCTGTGTGGGGTCCCTTTTGTAGCCTGGCCCTTGCAGTCATTGTGCAGCATTGGATGTACTGGAGAGCTCGGAACAGGGAAAGGATGGAGAACACATCGACAGGAGCCTCAGGAGAGAGACCCATGAGCTCTTGGGCATCCCCTCAGCAAAAGGAATGGTCTTGGCCGCAGTTGCATCGTGAGATGTAGTCAAGTATGTAGTTGACAGTGTACTTGACAGCAGGAGAGCCAAAAACTGCTAGAACATGTTCTGCCTGTGTTGGCATTGCTTGTGGACTTCCAGCTCATTAATTCAAAAAAAAGAGAAAGAAAATAAGGGCCAGAGATTTAGCTCAGTGGCTCCGCCACCTGCCTCACAAGGACTCAAGTTCGATCCCCAGTACCACAAGAAAATAAAAAGAGAGAGAGAGAGAGAGAGAGAGAGAGAGAGAGAGAGAGAGAGAGAGAGAAAAAATAGATGTAGGCCAGCTTTCTTTGCAAGGAGAGAAAAAGGTTTCATTTGGCTTTTAGTGAGGGCTATTCTATCTAGGACTAGAGCAAGTGATCTAAAAAAAAAGTTAAATATTAAAATCAGCAGAAAATTTTAAGATCTTTGTTTTGTATTATGAAATATACAACTAAAATTCACACTTTTTAGACAAAAAGTATATACAGAAGACATGGCCTTTAGAACTTCAGCATTTCCACCACAGTATTTATCTTCAGAGATCACTCTCCATCCGTACGCCTATTCTTCGTATACTCTTGAGTCTACACAGAATGTGTGCTCAATGCCCGCCTCACGGTATGGTTACAGCCAACCCAGTCATTACCAAGGTTTTCAGACCATGAAGCCCCAAAATGAACACGTGTGCGCTCTTCCACAAGAATTGAAAGCTCCATTTAAGGTGAGGAAATGCTTGTTTTGTATTCTCAAGTGGGCTGCTTTATTGTGCAAAAGTAAGGAATTGGTATGTTTTCACATGATATTTAAGCTCTTTACTCTCTGTTGTGTGTGGGTGGCCTTTAGCGTTTTAAAATAATTTGGTCTAACTTTTTAAAAAATTAATTGTGAATACTTACTAATTTGGTATTTGAAACTTTTCTTGTGGTGGTAGTCTTGTTTCATGTTGTTTTTTAATCTTTCCTGCAGAAAAAAACCTGTGATGAGAAAAAAACATACAGTGAGCAAAAGTTTAAAAGGACTGATGGTACAATATCATCTGAGGTAAAGTCAGCTAGAGGTTTCTACCATTTGTCCACTCATGCTGAGAACAGATTGAAGCCAGGTAAAAATAGCATAAGACTGTATAGTGTAATGTAAAACTACTCCACAAGCATCACTGTTTCTATGGACTTGTTCATTGTGACTACCAGGAAGTGAGACCCAGAACCCAACACAGCTGAGGGCATCAGACTTCCTATGATTTTTTTTTTTTTTTTTTTTTTTTTTTTTTTTTC